GAATCATCATCGGAATCTGACTTTGGTATTTTTATAATTATTCAGGATATTAATGGTACTTTGTTTTTTAAACGAGTCTGGCATTACAAGTCAAGTCACTGGTAAACACTTCCTCATGTTACACACTTTTCAATGGAGTTACGATGAAGGTGGTGGAGCAGGAGTAAGGTGCAGGAGACACACTGAAGTGAGCAAAAAGAGTAAAAGAGACTCTTGCTTCATTCCCCCCCAAACTTGTAATGGAGGTTTGATTAGCAAGCATGTAATGTACTTTACCCCCACGGATGGAGACAGAGGGGGAGGAGGGTGAAAGGAGGCGAGGGATGGAGGGAGAGGTATAGCAGGAAGGAGGAGTGTATATAGGCTGCCCTCTCAGCAGGTCTCCTCATCTCCCCTCCTCCCTTCACCTCCTCCACTTTATCCCTCAACTCCCTCAGACCAGGACATAAGTTTCCCCCCTACTTGAAAACCTACTCACCTCCTCTGCCTACACACACACACACACACACTAAAGCCTAACGCCATCTCTCCACCACCTCCTTCCCCCCTATAGCTGCACCATGCTGTGTAAGCGGTGGGTGTGGGTGGGGTAGGATGGGGTTGGAGGTCAGAAGCAGGAAGAGTTTTTTTTTTTTTTTTTGGTTGCCCGCCCCCGTTAACAAGCTGCACGTCTGCATGCAGGAAGTTGTTTGTGCACAGACACAATGCAAGTTTATTTGAATCCAGCAGGGAAAAGTCAGCTGTGTTGTCACTCAGCTGGTTTTAGGGTTAAAGGCTAAAGAAAATGTCGAGGTAGCATCCATCAGTGCGTTGCTTCTACTGGCAGAAAAGATCAGGAACTAACAGTCATCAGAAAGAAAAAAAAAGCCCTTTTAAATGCACATAATTAAACTTCCATCCATGATCCCCTGACAGTTAGCTCTTAAATGTTTTTCTTTTTCTTGCATTGTTATCTAAAAGCCTATTTCTTTTAATTTTTGCAGGGTGGGGTCGTTTTAATTGTTAATAGCAATTCACACCAGTAATGCCTCCACAGATTTTTTAAATGTACAACACTAAAAATCAAGTTTCCTTTCTGAGAAAAAGGTTTGAATCTTAGACTTGTGTTTATTTAGAGGAATATACCATTTTTGGCCATTCTAGATTGTGTTTTTTAACTCTTGAACAACTTTTTACACTCCATCATTTTGTTACAGGGCATCCTAACTTTAATGTCCTATTGTACTTTGAATTATGGAGGCAAGACACAATGAAAATGCACAAAAAATTGTTGTCAAAATTAGTCACCAGTGGATTCTTTCCTCTAAGACAAAAGAAAAAAGATACAACACTATCAACATTCACTTTACTTTGGAAAGACCACTGATAAGTCACTGAATTTGAAGGACTCATTAAAAAAACTTTATATGAACATTACAATTTCTCCTCATCCCTCTGTGCCTCCCACCACGCCAGATCAGTGTTTCTCTTTCCCCCTCCGCCTCACTGTGCTGTCGGCTCGGGGTGTGAGCAGAACAACGTTAATGTGTGGAGACACCTGACAAGCCTGCTGGCCTTTAGGGCTCAGCCTAATCACTCTGGACCCGAACCCATCGGGAATTAAACCTGCAAAACCAAACAGTCACTGTGGGAGCTGGCTGGCATTTGCTGCAGCTACTCGAATGGCTGCTGAGGGACAGGACGCTGCACGCTGCATGTTGGTGAAAATGTGGTGTTTAAAGAGAAGAAAAATTCAAGTCAAGTCAGCAGATTTATATGCAAACATGCAGTGTGAACAATGTGGTGGGATACATACATTTTTTCTAAGAAATTTCAAAGTTTTTGTGACAAATTGGAGCAATGGACAACCTGTAAATATGGAAATTTGTGCATGATTTACTTGTTCATGTCACTCACTCTGCCATATGTAAATAAGAAAAGACCAATTTATTTGCATGCTGCATGCATTGCTTATTACTTAGAAGTTTTATTGAAACAGAAAATATCAGAGGGAACTCCTACATCTTCTACTATTGCTACATCTGTCAGTAATTCTATACAGGTTTTTGACTGTGACGGTAAATCTGGCAGCAGTGAGGTCTCAGAATTGAATCCTGCACACATGCAAAAACATATTCATGTGCTATTGTATTAAAAAATGTCCAAAAATTATAATTCTGTATGACCAGGCAGAGTCTGATAAATGTGGGCTTACTCCAACATAAAGGAGGCTTGACAGCGAGAGGCCAAGAGTCAGTCTGAAGATGTCGCTGTAATGTGTTTGAACTGGCATTAAAGCTCTTTTGCCACCATCCGGAGTACAGTAGTGCGTTAACTTTAAAATTAATGGGGATTTTCCAGCGTTTAAAGTACAGTAGCTTGTTAACTCCGGTATCTGTTAAGCCACGCAGGGCCCCTCTCCACTCCCTCTCTCTCTCCAGATGCCCTCATTAATTTTAGATTGGCTCTAAATGAGTCTCCTTCATCGTGGCCGAGGTTTTCTAAATTAGATTCATTTATATTTAAATTGTGAAACAGGCGTGGTTAATGAGAGAATCATTATTTTTGGGGTTATTTCAGATGGGCTGATAGTTGGGCAGCTCAGTGCTGTGTGAAGTGAAGCCACCAGAGGAGGCACACATGATGTGAGAAGCAGCAGCATTTGGGCTTTTCATTCTCTGACTAACAGTGAAAAAAAAATCACCTTTTCACAGGATTTCAAAATAAAAGCATTGGTGGAAAAAGATCAATTGCCAGTAGCAGCACAAGCACTGTGTAAATCAGCAAAACAAGAACAAATGAGGGATTGATGATGGCTTAGTTTTGCATGTGTGAGAAACAAACAAATGAAATTAGAGATGGGGAGAGAGGGGAGTTTTTTTGCCGCTTTCGTCCAATTAATGTACTCTACATTTGTTTCCATCTGTCTAGAAAGTTGGTATGTTTTCTGCATCTTATGGTGGTAGGGAGAATATGCAAAGTGGGATACACCTGTCATACATACACCACATTGTTTGTTTCCTTTGCTAACACCTAATTTAACACTCTTAAAACTAATGTGTCGTTTTCAACACATCTGTGTAGTTTTCAGCACCACATGTGCCAAAAACGCATTACAAGACACACATGTTGACTTAACAGGTGCCTCTATCGACACACGCGGCCCTGACAAAGCAGCAGGACGCCTCTTGACCTAAACTGCTAAAATTGGAGTGTTGAAAATGTCACATCTGAGGAAAAGAGGACGTGAGGTGGAACAACAGAGCCCCCCCCCCCCCGTCCCCATGAACCTATCCATCCTTCTCATAAAAAACACAAATCACACAGCGCTTTACAGCTGTACGTCTCCTTACAAGGCGTCCTATGGCAACCCCCAGCTTCTCCCCGCCAGGAATTTGACTGTTAGGAATCTAAGTGCCAGGCGTTTAAAACAAGAGGAATGCTATTGTTCTGGTCACAGCTGCACTAGCACTGGCCGGGCTACTGCTGCCACTGTGTGAGTGAGAGTGGGTAGGAGAGGGGAGGTGAAGGAAGGAGGGTGGGAGGAGGCCAAGGTGTGAAAAAGGCAACTTTACGTGTTTCCAGTGCTCTGCGGTCTCATGACAAAGCAGCACATAGTTGACAGCAAGTTGACACATTCCTCAGGCCTGGATGGTTGCACACTTCCTCTCTCTCTAAGTCTGTCTCCCTCCAGCATCATATATCCCACTTTAAGTCTGTCTCTCTTTATATTCTAAATCAGATAAATGTACACAACACTAGAATTGCAGAAAACACTATTTATAAAGAGAAAAAGCTGAGGATTAAATGTGGGTATGTTCATGGTAAATGTACTGTAGAGTGGGATGAACCTCGTTAAGTAAAATATATTTTAAAGCTTCTTAAAATACAGAACACATTTTAGTCTGTAACGGTGAATGACAAAAGAAGAATCAGCACCAGATAGTTTTGCTTGTTCAAAATATGTCATTTTTTGGGACATTGTGAGTGTTTGTTGTCGACCAAATAAGACTGTCCTATAACAGATTTGATCACATCACACCTGTTTTTGCATCTCGGCATTAGCTTGTGGTCAGTTTCACAATTGATTTCAAACATTAATTTCCTGTCTATAAATCTCAGTACCCCTCTTATCTGCTTGTCAAATGTGAAACTATTGTACACCTTAGGTCACTGAGCAATTGGCCTTCTGGTTGTTCCAAGGGTTAAATCAAATGTTGGTGAAGTCACTTTCGTTAGTTTAATGGACCTATCTGCTAAAATTGCATTAAAGGGGCTCTTTCATTACAAGCAAAATCAAAATACATTTTTTTTCCCCACACATTTGGTTTGTTTGTAATTTAACCTGTGTCTGAGTGTAAAAAACAAAAGTCTTGACCTTGGAATCAGTACTTTTACAATAAATGACATATCACAGTCTTCTTCAGTGGAGTTTGTTCAGTTGTCGTGGAGAAAGCTCAGTCATTTTGTTCACACTACTTACAGTACTTGCATAGGTCACATGATGAGAACTGGGCTTCAATGTATTTCCATGACAACTGTGGAAACATTTGCATATATATATATATATATATATATATACACACATACATACATATACATATGTATACATACATATGTATATGTGTGTGTATACATATGTATATGTGTGTGTATATATATATGTATACATACATACATACATACATACACACACACACATATATATGTGAACCAGGAGAGGAAGCAGAAGCAACAGTAGTGAGGTGGCAGGGCTCCCCCCCCCTCTCTCTCTCTCTGTCTCTCCCTCACTCTTTCTTTCTAGTAATTACCATCCAGCTGCTCAGAGGAACAATGCTTGGCTCTCTTCCAGACGGCTGACTTCATACACTCTGTGCCACGCTCAATTTGGAGCGCAGCGGAAGCTGGGCATGACTGGCACCCTCCAGGGCATTGCTGTGTCTCTCTATGGGACTCACTATGTGTATGTGTGTGTGTGTGTCTGTGTGTGTGTATGCGTGGGTGTGTTCCCCTGAACCTACCAGTTCCCAATTGCCATCCGGTTCACGCATTGTCCCGGTCTCTTGATCGTGTCTTCACTCTCCTGTTAGGTCACTGGAGAAGCAAAACAAATTGAAAAAAAGAATTAAAAGTGATGATCAGTGACAGTGTACAGAGTAGAACAGCGGAGTGTTGCAGGTTGTCATTAGGGAAATCTTCATGTTATTTGCAGTGTTTAGGTAAAGATCAGGGTCACAGCAGCCTGTGTAGTGATGGCCAAACAGAAAATTAAGATTGACACCTATAGAAAACCAGACTTCTTTGACAGGTGATCCAGCACTTCACGAAAACACTACAAAAATATTAATTGAATGTATTTAATGAAATAATTGTGACTGAATTCATAAGAGGTGGATTTCTCTCAGCCTTGGTTAAAATCGCAGAGACTAAAAGTTCACAGTGAATCCTTGCACACCTACAACATTCCACACTGCTTCCTGATACAAAGTTGTGTTACCAGGCAACAAGTACCGTTCAGCCTAGTAACTTGCTGACTTTCTTCCCCGACTGCACTGCAGTAAAGTTTAGTTGCAGAAAGTCAAAGCTGACTCTCTGGTGTTAAACTGAAGTGAAGCTCTGGCTAAAATTAATGTGGCAGCAAATCTACTAACAGCCATCTGAATATGAAGAACTCCCTCATTATATGGGTCGAAAGTGCGCGCGTGTGCGCACACACACACACACACACACACACACACTCCAAACTTGGCTGAATAGGGTGCAGCACGACTCGGCTCTTCCTCCTGCAGTACAATGAAGACCTGTTTGGGTCCAGTATGCCCAGTTACCCCAATCCCACTGCCCAAAAAAGCAACACAAACACACACATACACATACACACCATCAGTCCCAGTCTGTCTCTTACTGTTTTGGACAGAAGGGCATTTAAAGAGCAGAGACAAACAGCAACAGTTGCTAATTGTTGTGTAACAGTTTGACGAGGAGATAGCAGCATTAAAACAGAAGTCTTACAGTTCTTTGAGACAGTCACACCATCCTGCTGACATGGTACGATCTCACATGGCACTGTTTCAAAGAAACTATAAATCAGATTGCCAACTCTCCTGTTAGATTCCCACAACAAACTCTTCCAATGTGACCAAGCAACCCAAAAGTCACCCAAGTTGCAAGTTTTCTGTCTTGTAAATCTCTCAGGGAGACTGACTCCTTTTTTTATTTAACACTGAAGTCTATTACATAGAAATTAACATACCTATTGTAGGGAATTAAAACATTACAATTGCACCCTCATTGATCAACCCTGTCACTAGACAAAGCCTTGACTTTTGATAATTCTACAAAACCACACATGTTGCATTTAGCTGTGAAAGTTTTTGAATGTTCGTTAAGTGTGTTTCCATCCACCTGAGCATTTCTAATTTGCACATTAAAAAGTGGAGTAGGAACAGCAACAACTCGAAAGAAAAGTCAAAATTCCACTAAAAGTTTTCAGCTTTGCCTGAGGAGGAAAAAGTTAATGTTTCAATAAAGGCAAAATGTGAAAAGGTGTAATGGAAACTGTAATGGAGACCTGGCAAATAAATCATGACGTACATGAAGCATGTGAATTATTTGCAACTGAAGCTTTGGAGAAAGAGATTAAATAAGGATAGCAAAAAAAGCAGCAGACCAAAACATGAGATCCATGTGGCCTGTAACGTTCCACCAAGTAATACATGAGAAAAAAACCCCAACAACATCATATTTCCATCATGTTTTCTGCCATATAAGGATTGACTGTCGCTCTTTTAATTATGTTATCTTCTTACACCCTCTTCCTCTGCAGTGGTTTAATGGCACCCAAATCCAGTATTAGGGCTCATTTATACTCCCCTTATGTACCATTGCAAACATCGTAAACGTCATGCTCGCATACCTCCATGCGTCCTTTATGATAGCACTGATTATGCCAATAGATGGCACTAGAGGGCAGAGTCAAAGGTTTCAGTTTTGGCTTTTCAGTTAAGGCAGTTTTGTAGACGGGGATGGTCTGTGATGCCATTAAAAATATCGCGACATGTGGATGGAGAATTCTTTTCACTATATTTCTGAGTTGTTCTGTTCTGCCATTTTTTAAATGTCTTTGTCGTCTCCTACGGTTGTATCTCGCTTGAACTATGCTACACTTCCTCAACAATCTGTGGTGGTACTGCTCCATTTCATCCATATCTGTGAGCTTTGAGAAAACATGCACAAATACAGACGAAATTATCACAGAGTATGGACACAGGGTCTGTCCATGTCTGTATACATATAATGTTGAGTATAAATGAGCCCTCAGTGCCACTAGTGTCAAACTCCTGATAATCATATATCAGTGGTGGACATTAATTTGCAATTTATTTTGCTGATTATCTGGAAATTCTGTTAAAATTTGCGCTACATTTTGACAGAAACATGACTTGAATTACTTTTATAATATGTGTGCATTGCATTGACAGTATTGTTATCATTATAACTTGGGTACATTTTTGTAAAGACCATAGTTATGGTAAACATGATATAGTAATTTATTTTTAAAAAATGCTGGTCTCTCATGTTAAAGTAAGAAACAGTCTTTGTTTTTATCTCTAGATAATGGTACACTACTTTATACTTTGGCAAAAAATGTTGGCATTGTAAGTAAATTAAGCGCTGCAGAGTGTTTAACTTGAACGTGATATCTTTGGAGACTTAGCTAGTTTCGTTGTATAGTTCATGGTTTGTGTATGGCAGGTCAAACAAAAAAAATGCATTAAAAATGTATAGCTATACTGTACGATGTCCAGTGAGGGTTAGGGGTTGAATTCCCATGTAACCTAATGGGTACAGTAAGGTAGTTTTACTGCCAAGCCACTCAGCTACAACACACAACGGGTATGGTTACATAGCTACTTCAACCTAACAGTGATGGCAGCGAGGAGAATGGTAATAGAAAACCTGTAGGGAACAGTGCTGCCAGTGTAAACAAATCAAATATTGATATTTCCAAAGTGGAGGTGCAGATATTTTGCGATTGTTTTCAGCACTCTAGTCCGCCATATCAGTTTGAGCTGACATCCTGGGCCCTTCAGATAAGCATTTCCATCAAACCGCCTGAGCTATGTTATCTAAACACGTTATCATATCTATATTAACGTCTGCTTCAGTACAGTCACAGTATATTCATATGAACTCCACCGCGAATACAATAACAGTAATGTCATTCCCCATTTGCAAGGCATGCGGCTGAAGCTGTCGCACAGTGGCAGAGGGCCAGCCCAAAGCAAACAGAGGTGTGTTTCTGATTTGACTGCTCACCCACTGCTGTTACAGAGTTAATACAGAGACACAGTGCAGTGTACAAGCCATGGCTGTCTTTTTAAAGTCTGTAGATACTGACTGAATATCTAAACGTCTTGAGGGCCAGTTTTACTTTTCTATAACAGTAAAAACACTTGGTTTGAAGTATTTAACAGTTGGTTCTGCTATCGTCAAAGGTACTTAATAGTTAGTTACTTTACTTCCCCAAAAATAATCTCAGTTGGTTTCACTTGCCAAAATATACTTTGAGCGGGTTTTACTTTACCTCATTTTACATTTGGTTATGTTTCCTAAAGCTATAAACTGTGTTTTGTTTTATTTTACTTTTACTTTCCTATATGTACTTCAGAGTTGATTTTAGTTCCCTAAAAGTTAGTTAAATTTGATTTTACTTTATTAGATGCAAATTACAATTTGCCTAAATGTAATTTACACGTAGTTTTAGTTTGCTGCAGGTGCTTTACAGTTGTTTTTACTTTCTGAAATGTAACTTACAGTTAGTCTTAGTTCCCTAAAACCACTTCATACTTTCTTTCCTACATTTAATTTACAGTTTGTTTTAGCTACCAACAAGTACTTTATGGTTGGTTGTACTTTCCTAGATGTAATTTACAGTTAGTTTTAGTTCCCTAAAGGTGCTTTCTAGTTGTTTTTACTTTCCTGAATATAATTTAAAGTTTGTTTTAGTGACCATAAGTACATAACAGTTGTTTTTACTGTCCTACATGTACTTTACAGTTTTAGTTCCCTCAAGGTACTAAATAGTTGTTTTTACTTTCCTAAGGCGTAATTTACAGTTAGTTTTAGTTCCCTAAAACCACTTTTAGTTGGTTTTATTTCCTAAATATAATTTACAGTTTATTTTAGGCCTCTAAAGGTGCTTAATGGTTGTTTTAACTTTACTAAATGTACTTTACAGTTACTTTATTTCCCTAAAAATACTTTATAGTTAGTTTTACTTTCCTAAATATAATTTACAGTTTGTTTTTACCAAAAGTACTTTAAGGTTGGTTTTACTCTCCTGAAAAGCACTTTACAGTTGGTTTACTTTCCTAAATGGAATATTATGTATAAACAAAACAAGTCTGATGTATCCCAGTGTAAATGAACATGAGGAAGGACTTACTGCACTTACTATGCATATAGTATATATGTATGAGTAAATGACATCTATGCCCAACTTAGCACGTGTATGCATACGGTATAAGTGAGCTTGAGTTCACGCCGCCTGTTTTACAAGGAGGTATGTATATATGTAAGTATGGATGCATGTATGCATATCTGTGTGTTTACTGACCTTATGAACGCAACTGCATGTGTGCTCATTTCTGCGTAGCTGTGTGTGTGAGCTTGTGTTAACATGGGTGTGTGCGTGCATGTTAACGGCAGCGGGCCCCCAGGCAGGGCCCCCCACAGTGTCCAGGGGGATTGTGGGTAGTTGGGAGAGGGTTTGGATTCTGGCTTTGTTTGTCTCTGTGTGCTGACATCACTGTGCTGATGGCACCAAATCCCCCGTTCTACTGCACACAGCACTTTCTATACAAAACACCAACACACACATACACAGACACACACTAACACATGGTGCAAGTAATGCCAACTTGGCCAAAAAAAAAAAAAAAGCTCTTTCTCTTTTTAACACACATGCAAACATCCATGTACGCAGATATGGATGCACCACACTCACACACACCTAACACAGGATGCAGTGTGATTATCATATTTGTTGCTATATTTGGTCTCCTGTAGGAGACCAAATATAGCAACAAATA